GCCGCTTGAGAAGTATGCAGAATGGAAGGATGCCCTGAGGCCCGAGGTTTTCACTTTAATTTCCGTTGGATATGCGACGGCCTTTGAGTACCTCTGTCATCTTGGTACTTTTGAAGGAGCCTTTTACTGGCGACAATTTCAAACATACAATTTCAGACAATTTCAAAGCAGCAGATAGTGTAATGAACTCTCATCGTACTGGTCATCGAGATACAACCACCCTAAATTCACAGCCATTTTGCATCATCTACCCCCATACATACACCTCGTCCTCGTCCCTGATCATTCTGAGTAAATCCAAGATGTGTTTTCATTTCTCCCACTGTTGCTATGTTTACAAGAAGTCGGTGTTAGGATTCAAAACAAATCGAATCCGTCCCCCTGCCCCACTTCACACGCACTAGGAGGGGAAGAAAACTGACCAAAAAAGTTGTCTCCCTTCAAATTAACAAAGAGTGCAAGTGGGAACGCGAGGAAGGTGCGGCAACCGCAAGCTGAGAAGGCCGCCCAGGCCATCAGTATTTTAGAAATGTAGTTGGGCCCTTGTCCAGGGATAAATTGTCAAGCCTGTATTGTAACTTAGTACATATTTGACACCCAAATCCACCAGCCGCCTTGGAAACCCTTTGGGGCAGTTCTACTCTGTCCTGTAGGGTCTCTATGAGTCGGAATCGACTCGACGACGACGGGTTTTGGTTTACTGTTCTTCAGGGTAGCTTCGTGCCTAGAGCAGATTCGAGTCTGAGTGAAAAAAGAATGCACCAGGATTCATGCCTAAGGCATATTGCTATTAATAAGTAATATAAATATTAATATTAAGTGGTAAAACGAGCCCGGGCGTTGCCCTCGCAGTAAGCCCTGCGGCAGTCCAGTTTGCAGGAACCGCGGCGCCTGGCGGCTCATTAAGGGTGCGGATAGCGCCCCCTGGTGGACACGTCCTTGGGGGACTAGACCCGGCAGGGGTGGAGCGTTGAAGTTGTCAAGCAAGGCTGAAGTACTAATTATTGGCAAGGATACCTAGATAAAAGAGCAGATGAAGTGGCTAAGTGGCCAAGGCATTAGACTACTAATCAGTCCCAGGACGCTGCATATATGGCTTTGCTTGGGACTAAAGACGTCTTCCCTGCTCCCAGATAGTAATTACTACTGCTAAACTACAAGGTGTTAGGAGTGTTGAGAAACCCTGCCTGCCCTCGGGAATAAGAGCAGAAGACAAGACAAAGTGCAGGTTTCCTGTAGCCATTTCAGCCATGGAAGCAGAAATCTTAGACCACAGATGGCACACATGTATGACATAGTCATGAAACTTTTCTAGAATATGATCGTCAGTCTACTCATAGTAATTAGGTTTAAAACACAACATTAAGAAATGATCTTATACGGTAATTTTAGGAGCACAAGGAATTAGGAAGATTTGGATTTGGTGATTTCACACTACAATTTTCAGACTGCCTTGGGGAAAACTTGTGCCCAAAGAATCGAATAGCTGGTAATTTTGACATTTATTCTGTATACAGAGGAAAGAGAGTCTTCCCAAAAGGCGAGATGTAAGTCTAGTGTGAAAAAGTGTGGATTACTTGCTCTTATAGCCCCAATCTTGGGGAAAGAGCATTCAGGGTAGATAGAATTGCAACTTTAAAGACGCTGAGATGAGAGTCTTATGCTCAGATTAGTTTACAGGTGAAAGAACTAATTGACAAGATCAGCTTTAAGAGTTTTTCAGAATAAAATCAACTTTAGAGTACCACGTGACTGGAAGACATGAAGCTCTGGGGTCTCAAGGGAGCACTTGTACCTTAGTGCTAGTTAGTGAGAAAAATGGTGAGGCTTCTTTCAGGTTCCATTTCTGCCTTTCTCTCTGTGAAAACTAGAGGAACTTTTGTCTGAGAATAAACTGAGATCCTGAGGTTTGACAGTGGAATGACAGCTCAGTTGCTTTTACTTTTGTGTCCAAGACTCAGCTTAGATATGTGGGAAAGATCATCCCACATAGGAACTGTCAGTTTTTCTAGGCTTTCTTTACTCTGGCTTCTCCTATTTCCCCTGAATTAGGTTAGATTATTGGGAAAAAAATTTACTAGACTAGATATTCTTAGTTTCCCATGGAAAGGAATAGAATCACTGAATTAAACCTTTATTATGTGCTGTCAAAATTTCTCATAGGAATTATTGGACAAAACCTTTTTGATGAAAAATTTGGCATTTTTTCGTAACTATAGTTATGAACTTTCATTTTAATAAGCAATGATTTTTTTAATAAATACATTAACTAGATCATCTTTTCCACAAATACATAATCAATAACAGTCTTTCTACATGGTTTCCTTTTTCACCCATTGGCACCCATCCTGTCTTAGATGCCAGCAAGCTGAGAGCCAAACTCAGCACTCATCAGCAATGCATGACAGTATCCCTGTAAATGGAGTACCTACACTTCTTTTTTAAATAGGAGTAGGAGTTGTGTTACTTTTACTTGTCTCACTATAATTGTGCAATTTATAAGCCATGCAATTCCTTTTTTAAAAAACTTACACATACACCCTTCTCATGTTTCATTAGTATGTTTGTGTCTATACATAATTTTCCTTCATCCTTCAGAAAGGAGAATCTCAGTGTTTCCAAAACGAATTGAGCAGTAACTCTGCTTCAAGACAGTAGGTTCCTCTTCAAATAAGTTCTTTACATTTAGAATAATCTTACCATTTATCAGTCAATGAAGACACTTTTGATAGGGAGAGGAGGTGCTAATCGTACAGCACAGTTGAACAACAGGCTTAATAGGGGCGATGGTTCTATGTATGTAGGGGAGCAGGAGACGGAACATTGGTGATCGATTTTTTTTTTTAAACGTATGTATAACACGTATACAATAAAAAGCACAAATCTTCGGCTTTCAAGGGGATGAATTTTTGCATATTTTTACACTTGTGCAATAAGCACCCAGATCAGTTCATAGAACATTTACAGCACTCTAGAAAACTCCCTCATATTTACCTGTAATTTTGAAATAAAATTGAATGTAATCAAAGCGAGATCATTAGGACAAATATTATTTAAAATAGCCTAAGGAAGCACAAAGCAGGATCCTTCGATAGCTCAGTTGGTAGAGCGGAGGACTGTAGGTGTTCCATGCGGGTTATCCTTAGGTCGCTGGTTCGAATCCGGCTCGAAGGACTCACTTTTGCTAAAGCCCAATGAGGCTTCTCGTTAACATTCTATGGGTTCGGACTCTCATAGCAATAAACCCTTAGTACATGTAAGGAAAATTAGAGAACAAAGTGACAATTGTGCTCAAAGATGTAGGAATCTTTAAAAAATATATAAATCATCCTCTGGTACATACAAAGGAAACTGCTAACAATGGCTGCTTCACAGGTCATTTGGGTTGCTAGAGTAAGGCCGGATGTCCTGGATGATTGATTTTCCACTGAGTTCTGCTGAGAAGGGGACAGGAGGAGTGTGCAGAATGGGAAGGACGTCCTACTCTCAAGGTTTTCATTTAAAATTTTTTGGAGTTTTGATGGTCCTTCTGTTATGATGGTACTTTTTGAATAAACATTTATGACAATTTCGAACGTACACAAGGTAGAGAAAATAGTATAAGGAATTCCCATTGTAGTCATCAAACTAGCACAACCGACAGCCACTCTTCCTTCATCTACTCCCCCTCATACCCTTCCCCCGTCCCCTTTCTTTTGAAGCAACTCTAAGATGTACTCTCATTTCATTCACTGTTACTGTGTTTTGAAGAGGTCAGTGTTAAGAATTTATAAGCAGGACTTGAGTCTGTTCCTCTCACAACGCTCCCGTAAAGGAGCAGAGAGCAACTGACAGATGTTCTTTCCAAAAAAATCAATAAAATGGGCAGGTGAGAACTCAAGGAGTCTAGTTTATTAGAATTTTAGATACTCCGTGAAAGAACTTCGGCACCGCGTTACTTTAGGAATATATTTGGGGCCTACCCGGCAAAAGTTGTCATCCTGGGTTGTGACTGTGGACATATGTCACCCGTTTCAGTCATGTGCGTGGCTTTGCGCCCGCATTCGAGCTGGATGGGAAGTATTATCCGGCCGCAACAAGGATAGATTTATATTGCTACTCCTCAAACTCGTCCTGGGCCCTTCCCAGAAAGCTGGCGGAGTAACTGCACGTGGTTCGGCGGAGACGCTCTCAGAGTCGGCTCCGCGGCGGGTGCGGATCGGAGGAACCGCCGCGCTGCGCAGCTCATTAAGGGCGCGGATGGCGACCCACACTGGGCGCGACATCTGTTGACTAGAAGAGGCCGAGGCTGAGGACGCGGGGAATGAGACTCTGGTTTTCCTGTAGGGTTCGTCCCCAGAACTGCCCTGATTCTATAGTCCCATAAACAAGGGAACAGTGGTTTGGGATCTGAGGTGAAACCTGCGACGACAGGACCCGGCCGGAAGAGGAGGACTGAGTACGCCGACCGGTGGTCGCCTGAGTCCGGGCCATGTGTGCATCTGACAACATGTATTTGTACCATAAATAAAATATGAATCATATATCAAAACAAACGTATAACAGACGCCAAATAATTTTTTTAAATGAAATAAATAATTATCACACACTTTAATATTTTAGACATTCACAAAACCAAGTTTGAAATTTAAAAGTCCAAAGCTTAAATTTTCAAAAATTAAATGTTTCAAAAACTTAAATTTGCAAAAGTAATATTAAACTACATTTTCAAAATTTAAATTTAGACAAAATATTCAAACTCTAAATTTTCAAAACTCAAAATCAAATTAAAAAACTGAAACTTCAGTAAACTTTAAAAGTTGCGTCATCTCGCAACTGTCAACCAGAGTGGAACCCAGGTCCTTCGGTAAAACTGTATTTTGATGGCTAGAACAAATGGTTGTTGTGTGCCTTCATTCCGACTCATCGCGACCCCACAGGTCAGAGCAGAACCGCTCCATAAGGTTTCCTAGGCGGTAATCTTTAGAGGAGCAGATCGCCAGGTCTGTTCTCCTGCGGAGCGGCTGATGGGTTCCAACCAAAGACTTTCAGGCTGGACCTTTCGGTTAGGAGCCGAGATCTTAACCATTGTGTCACCAGGTCTCCTTAGAACATATGGAGTCACTCCAAAAAACTGTTCGGCTAAATTCCCTGAAAAGCCAGCCTCATCCAACCTTTTTGCGCCTCAGCAAGGGGTTGGAAGGGGTATGTTCTACATCAGGATCTGCCTCTTCCGGTCGTGCCTCTCCAGCTCAGGAGTGGTTTGTTTGGCAGTTCGAGCCTTTGATCCCGCCCCCACGCTTTGAATCCTGCAGCTGACCTGAGATCCCACTTCCGCCCTCTCCACTCGCCCTCTCCACTCGGCACCCGCCCGCATCGCCTTGTCTTGTCTTTTCTTTGTCATCCGGCCCCTTGGCCCCGCCCCCTCGCTGCCGGTCGTCGCTCTTGGTGCGCGTCAGACTGCGCGGAGCTTTACGGCCGTCGTGCTTCACGTGTTAGCCGGAATGGAAGCAGAAGACTCAGAGAAGGAAGCGGCGGAGCAAGAGCCGAGGGAAGAGCAGGAGGAGCCAGAAGAAGAGCAGGCGGAATGCAGCGGCAAAAAACGGGTAGTGCCGGGAATTGTGTACCTGGGTCACATTCCACCGCGCTTCCGTCCCCTGCATGTACGCAATCTTCTCAGCGCCTATGGCGAGGTCGGGCGCGTTTTTTTCCAGCCTGAGGGTAAGTGCGGAGGCCCTGACAGGGAGGAGGGAGGTTGATGTTCACTGGTGAGTGGGCATGTATGCACGTCCTGTTGCCTTAGCTGAGTCCTGGCTGGTAAATAGTGCGCATGTCTTTTGGGACCGGGTGTATCGAGGGTTTGCTAACTGGGTTTTAGTTCTCGGATTGGTAGTACAAGGGTTCGAATCCCGCCTCTGCCCACTTCTTTTCTGGGCCTCAGTTTAACGGTTTATTAAATGAGTAAATCCTGAGTAAAAATCGCAGTGGCTTTTTCACGAAACTGAACACACATCGACTTGCCAGGCCAAGAAACAGTATATAATCAGCCACTCTTCCTCCTCTTTTCCAGGCACGAATTAGGGTTGGGGGCGTGTGCAGTTTTAAATAGAGTTTAGGGCGGGTCTGAGTAAGGAGGTGACCTTTGAGCAAAGGATTGAGTTACGCATGGGGCAAGGATGCACCTCCCAGATCACTCCTCCCGGGCAAAGACCGTGAGGTGGGGCCCTGGCCAGCGGGTTTGGAAAACAGCGAGGCCAGTGGGAGGTGCGGACGCAGCACTGACTTCTTTTTGGTGCGCAGATGGGTTCGTGCGGCGTAAGAAGAAGGCGGCGGCCGCGGCCACTGGAGCAAAGAAGCGGTCCAAGTACAGCAAGGACTACACCGAGGGCTGGGTGGAGTTCCGGGACAAGCGTGTGGCCAAGCGCGTGGCGGCCAGTCTGCACAACACGCCCATGGGCGCCCGTAGGCGCAGCCCCTTCCGCTATGACCTGTGGAACCTCAAGGTGAGCAGACAAGCTTGCTGCCGCACTCATCTTCCCACCTCTCTGCCTCTGCCTTAGGCACCGCCAATGGCCTCTTGTGGACCCAGCCGGTTCCGCTCTCTTCTTCTCTGACCACCCTGATCTCTTGTTTCTCTGCTTGCAGTACCTGCACCGCTTCACCTGGTCCCACCTCAGCGAACACCTGGCCTTTGAGCGCCAGGTGCGCCGGCAGCGCCTGAGGGCCGAGGTCGCCCAGGCCAAGCGTGAGACTGACTTTTATCTTCGAAGTGTGGAGCGGGGAAACCGCTTCCTTGCTGCTGATGGGGACCCTGCCCGCCCGAATGGCTCCTGGACCTTTGCACAGCGCCCCACTGAGCAGGAGCTGAGGGCCCGGAAGGCAGCCCGGCCAGGTGGTCGTGAACGGGCTCGTCTGGCTACTGCCCAGGACCAAGCCCGCTCTAACAGAGGGCTCCTTGCCAAGATCTTTGGAGCTCCACAGCCCTCAGAAGGCATGGAGGGACCCTCAGTGGCCAGGAACTCCTGAGGGGCAGGGAGGCCCCTCCCATCTCCTGGCCTACCCTGCTTCCTTCCTACTTCCTACTAGAGTGCTAATGACTGTCAAGGCAGGCATTTTATTGTGTTTCTCAGAGCAGGAGTGTCTGGTGAGGACCTAAACATAAAAGTTGTGTGAATTTCCCTGCCTTTCTACTCTGTACCTACCTGCTTGTGGCACCTAATTCATACTAACATATTTATGACTGCTACAGGTGCCAGTTTTGTCTTATCTGACTCTTGGCTGCCTGCCCTCCTGCACATTGGGACCCCCTAAAAATCCTACTTCTGGACCCAAGGAAGGGCCTTTACTTCCAACTAGAGTGATAATGACTACCCCAGGCAGTGGTGTCCTAATTACCAACCACAGGTGAGGGCAGTAGCACTGTCTTTTTTATTTAGAAAAAGTAAATGGGCAGAGGTTACTGGGGTGGGCCACCTTCCAAATGTATTTTTAGAAAAGGAAGAAGAAAAGTATATATATATACACACACACACTTAGTATGCTCTTTAGTTTCTGGGGGGATGTTGGGCAAGTTCCACCTTCCATCTCCTTGTGCCCCATTCACTCCCCTTCACTCCATCTCCCAACCTTAGAGGCCACCCCCCACCCCGTACATTTTCTATTGTTAACTGCTGTCAAGTTGATTCTGACTCATGACCCCATGTGTGCAGAGTAGAACTGCTCCATAGAGTTTTCAAGGCTGTGAGTTTTTGGAAGCAGATTACCAGGACTGTCTTCCAAGGCATCTCTACGTGGGTTTGAACCGTCAACCTTTCGGCTGGTAGTTGAGCACTTAACCATTTGTGTCACCCAGGGACTCCTAAACCCATCTCAATGCCTCAGAGCCCTCCATTATACCCTTTCATAGTTGCCTCCCTCAGAGCACCTATTCATCCACTGGAGAAGGGTCAGCAGAACTACAGAAAGCCCCCCATTCTAGAGTTACGGGCAGGTAGTCACCTAGTAGGCAGCAACACTGGAGAGCAGTGGTAGATTGGTGATGGCATATCCAGGGTAGAAGGAGCAGTATGCAAACGGTTGAGACAGGATCCAAAGGAGCCAGCAGAGGTATTAGGCCCCAAGGTTGCACATAAGCATAATGAGGTCATCTAGGCAAACGTGAATGCCGTGGGCCGAGGTTACAGGCATGATGAAGTGCAGCGCCAGCCTGAAATGGTTCTAGGCCACTACTTGCAGTTTGTCCAGGAATGCACACAGCAATAACGATACGCCATTCTCCAGGGTTGGCAGGTTGGTCATGTGGTGCACTGTCACCTGTGGACCTGCAGGAACTGGAGATCTGCCCGTAAGTGGAGGAGGGGCTTTCCAGGGCCTGGCCACCCAGGACTGACTGGACATTCTAGCCCCACCTGATTCCTCCTAATTGGATAGGTTGGATGCTGAGTAGTCCTATCTCCTTACTGTTTGTTCTCTGGTTTCACAGTGGTGGTATCGGGCTGAGAGCCTGGATGGGGTGGTGGTCAGCCGGGTGGGAGTCTCACAAGTCCAAGGCTTACCAAGCCCTTGTGCAGGAAGGCAGGAGCAGGATCCAATGGGGACCACACGAATGGACAATTCACTTTTAATAAGTAAAGTGACTACATAAATAATCACAGTCATGTTTTTTAAGTACTGTTTTTCTTTGCTTGGATACTAGATAGCATCCTGTTCTGAAGACATTCCTTCAGCTATGCTACATCATCATTTCTTTTTATCTTCTTGAGGTTTCATATCCACATGGAAACATGCTATTATTTTCACCATCTTAAGATACATGTCTCCTAACTCCCCAAAGCTTTGCTGGCTACTGCCCCATTTCTTCACTCCCCATATCAGCATAACAACTTGACAGAATTATCATCACTTGCTTCCTCTAGTTTGTCTTTGCATTCTGTTTTAAACCCTGGTGGCAAAGTGGTTAAGTGCTTGGCTGCTAACCGAACGGTTGGTGGTTTGAACCCACCAGCAGCTTTGCAGGAGAAAGATGGCAGTCTGCTTCCATAAAGATTACAGCCTTGGAAACCCTATGAGGCAGTTCTGCTGTGTCCTATAGAGTCACTATGACTTGGAATTGACTCGATGGCAATGGGTTTGGTTTGGGTTTTAAATCAGGCTTATGCTCTCACTTTTACCACAGCATGGGAATGGATCTTGTCAAAGTTCTTAATGATCTCCATCTTGTTAAATCTGGTCACTTCTCAGGCTCCTCCTACATGACCCACTGGCAACATTTGAGACACTGATTCTTGGTACATTGTCTTCATTTGGCTTCCAAAAAACCCACTGCTGTCGAGTCCGACTCATAGTGACTCAACAGGACAGAGTAGAACTGCCCCATAGGGTTTCTAGGCAGCGGCTGGTGGATTTGAACTGCTGATCTTTTGGTTAGCCAAACACACCACTTCGCCAGCAGGGCTCCATTTGGCTTCCAGGGCACCACAATCTCTTGGTTTTCCTGGTAGCTGCTTCTCAGTATTGGTTCCTCCTCTGCATCAAGATCTGTTAAATTGGTTATTCCAGGGCTTAGTTCTTGGACGTCTTCTCTTATTGTGGGAGATAGAATTATGTCCCTCCAAAATATGTGTCAATTTGTCCAGGCCATGATTCCCAGTATTGTGTGATTGTCCACTGTTTTGTCACCTGATGTGATTTTCCTAGGTGTTGTAAATCCTACTTCTATGATGTTAATGAGGCAGGATTAGAGGTAGTTATGTTAATGAGATAGGACTCAATCTACAGGATTAGGTTGTGTCTTGAGTCAATTTCTTTTGAGATATAGAAGAGAGAAGCAAGCAGAGACAGAGGGACCTCATACTAAGAAAGTAGTGCCAAGGGGCAGAGTGTGTCCTTTGGACCTGGGGTCCCTGTGCTGAGAAGCTCCTAGACCAGGGGAAGATTGATGACAAGGACCTTTCCCCAGAGCCAACAAAGAGAAAGCCTTTCCCTGGAGCTGGTACCCTGAATTCGGACTTCTGGCCTACTGGACCGAGAGAATAAATTGCTGTTTGTTAAAGCCATCCACTTGTGGTATTTCTGTTATAGCAGCACTAAATAATTAAAATGCTTATCTATCTATGCCCAGTCTCTTGGGAATGTCCTCTAGTCTCATGGATTTAAATACCATCTACATAGAGGTAACTCGGCATTTTATCTCCAGTTCACACTCCCAGGTAAACTCCAGACTCTCATGCTCCTACTTATTCATCTTCTTCAATTAGAGGTTAATAGTCATCTCAATCTCATTTCCAAAGGACTCCTATTCTCCCTCCCCTCCCAAACTTGCCCCACCTACTGTCATCCCCATCTCAGTGGATATGAATTCCTTCATTCTAGGTGCTCAGGCCAAAAGCTGTGGGATCGTCCTGACCCTCTCTATTTACTCATTTATTTAACTTCTTAGTACAGTTTATTAGCCAATTAACTAATGCAGCATTTACTAAGCCACTGCCATGGATTGAATTGTGTCCCCCAAAAATATCTGTCACCTTGGCTGGGTCATGATTCCCAGTATTGTATGATTGTGTACCATTTTGTAATTTGATATGATTTCCTTAAGTGTTGTAAACTCTAGCACTATGATGTAATAAGATGGATTAGTGGCAGTTATACTGATGAAGTCTACAAGATTAGATAGTGTCTTAAGCCAGTCTCTTTTGAGATGTAAAGGAGAGAAGCAAGCAGAGACACACGGGAACCTCACACCACCAAGAAAGCAGTGCAGAGTGTGTCCTTTGGACCTAAGGTTCCTGCACTGAGATACTCCCAGACCAAGGGAAGAACTGATGCATCACAAAGACCTTCCTCCAGAGCCTACAGAGAAAGAAAGCCGCCTCCTGGAGCTGATGCCCTGAATTTGGACTTGCAGCCTACTGGACTGTGAGAGAATACACTTCTCTTTGTTAAAGCCATCCACGTGGGATATTTCTGTTAGAGCAGCACTAGATGACTAAGACAGCCACTATGTGAAAAATGCATGACAATGGATAATAACACATGGCCCTTGGCACTATGAGTCATAGGCCACTAGAATAAGAGACATTTAAGAAACAAATATACAGAGGTATTACAGGTATCATGGTAGATGTGTGTAAGAGGTGAGTGGGAACCATGTGAAGGCCTGGTTGACTCTACCTGGGAAGGTCAGCAGTGCCCTCAATGCGGAGCCAATCTATGATCACAGTCTTCAGAGATGGGTCAGTCTTCAAGTTTTCCAGGTCATTCCTGAAAAGTGAACTGGGAAAACAACAGAGCAGTGTCTGAAAGAACTTGGTGTGTTCCTAGAATTGCAAAGAGAGCTGCATGGAGGGCGTTGGGTTTGAAGCAGTGGAAAGGTGGGCAAGGCCCAGGAGAGAGGTCAGGGAGAAGGGACACCCCTCAGATCCACTTACACGCGTTGGGGCTTAAATAATGGAGGGTTCAGCACACAAGCAGCTCTGGAGGCTGCAAAGGATCAGTGCAAGCCACGAGGAGAAAATGAAAACAGGTGTCACAGTAAACTAAGACATCTATAGACAGTCCCATACAGATTAAAACTGTGATCAACTCTGTTAAACTTACAGGAATTAGAGTGTGATTATAATAATTACATATATATATATATATTTTGTGTTGTTTCTCTAGTTTTCTTTTTTCCCCCTCTTGTCACTGATGTAATTATCCATGTGTTCTCTGGGTGAAGTGGGTTCATCCACTTCTTTGTCTTGCCTCTAAAATACCCATTTTAAGATATTAATTTGATAGACACACTGTTTGAGAGAATAAAAATGACTAGACAGTAAACATTTATGATTTCCTCGGTGTAACATTCCCCAAAACCCACATGCCTCTCATACCCAGCAAACAAACACTTCTTTTTTTTAATTTATTTTTTCCATACAAAAATTTATACATACATTGTTACGTGACTCTAATTGCTCTCCCCATATTGTGACAGCACATTCACCCTTTCCACCCCTGATTCCCCATGTCCATTTAACCAGCTCCTAACCCTGTCTGCCTTCCCATTTCACCTCCAGACAGAAGCTGCCTGTTTAGTCTCTTGTATCTACTTGAGCTAAGAGGCACACTCCTCACGAGTATTACTTTATGTCCCACAGGCCAGTCTAATCCCTATCTGAAGAGTTGGCCTCAGAGATGATTTTAGTTCTGGGCTGATAGAGAATCCAGGGCCCATGCTTTCCGGGGTTCCTCCAAGTCTCAGTCAGACTATTCAGTCTGGTCTTCTTACTAGAATTTGAGTTCTGCACCCCACCTTTCTCCTGCTCCATCCAGGACTCTCTGTTGTGCTCCCTGACAGGGCCGTCATTGGTGGTAGCTGGGCACCATCTAGTTCTTCTGGTCTCAGGCTGATGAAGTCTCTGGTTTATGTGGCCCTTTCTGT